AGGCGAAGGTGTGCAAGGAACGAGGAACAACATTCTTCAAGCAGAATAAATATCGGCTAGCAGTAAAACAGTACAAGAAGATCATTGATCTCCTACAGTATGATTCAGGTTAGTTCGCTCATCCTTGCTAGGCTTATATTTTTTTCAAGAAAGTAGAAAAAATACAACTTTTATCCATATTCTGTGCAGTAAACTTATTATCATTATTGTTATTATTTTGATAATGATAATTATTACTATTGTAATGATCAAAATTATTATTATCACTTTTGTTATATTATTGTGATCCTTATACTTTTGTTCTTTTTTTTATTAATTAGTTTTAATCTATTTATTTCATATATATTTTTAAGGGTTTGTCCACCACTTCATCATATATATATTTAAAAAGATTGAGACACTTCGTTTTTAATTTTCAATGACAGGCTTGGACGATGAAAAGAAAGCTGAGAGTCACTCGGTTCTCCTTGCCGGACATCTTAATCTTGCAATGGCCTACCTGAAGCTGAATGACAACTCTCATGCAAGAGAACATGCCACCAAGGCGCTAGAGCTGGACAGTACCAGTGTCAAAGGTTATTTTAGAAGAGGGCAGGTGAGTAAATAGATTAAAAAAGAATTTAAGGTTCAGAATAAATGCAGGTGTAATAGTAACCCCGAAGCAAGATGTAAAAGGATCGTAACTGTTCTAACAACTAAACTATCATTTACAGGCGTATTTAAACATGGGTGATGCGGAGCAAGGGCAACTTGACTTTCAGGCGTGTCTTAAGTTAGACGAAAGCAACAAAGCAGCAAAGCATCAGTTACAGCTGTGTGCAGCGAAGATTAAGGCCGACAAACTGAAGGAGAAGAAACTGTACGGAGGCATGTTCGAAAAGTTTGCAAGAATGGACAAAGCTGTAAGTAGCATTTATTTTGATTCATTTATTAATTTTCTGTTGGTGAAATTGCAGTGATAGTATAACATTAATTAGATAAGATGTGATGATATATTAATGTTTAATTATTACAGGATGCTGGTTTCAGTTATGAGTATGATATGTTTCATGATTATGTTATATGTATTTCATTTATTTTTTATGTTTCATGATTACTGTAGACTTGTTTCTATTATGATATTCATACATTTAGTTCATTATGTATTTTGCTAAGTTTAGACTGTAGGATGATGTGTTTTGTTAGTAAAATATATAAACACTTCATTTTACGTTAAAAACAGACTATTTTTTTTCCCCTGATGTACATTCTTTGTATAGTATTTCTTTTCCAGAAAGAGAGAACATTCTCACAGTCTTCTCTTTCCAGAAAGAGGAAGCGGAGTACAACAGATACAAGGATGTGATGGCAGGTGATCTTGGGGAATGGGGTAATTCAGAGGAAAAGAGTGACTCGGGCAAGAGTGAGAAGAAAGAAAATTTTACAAATGCAAGCGATGATCCTAGTAGGAATGCTCTGTCAGGATTGGGTGACATTGAAGGCGTTCAGATGCTCTAAGGCTGACAGCTTGTTCTCAGTTAATCTACTCACACATATGCAGTGGTTTCATATATTTACTTTGGACTCAGTTGCATTTTGTTTCAACATTTGACTGTCTTTTGTAAACATTGTTGTCCCTTTACAGATTATTTGGTCACAACTTAGTGTTTGTAAATTAGGTAGGTAAATGGATTTGTGATATGTGACTCCAAATTATCAGATAAGGTTGGTTGTTATTGTAGCCTTAAATCAAGTGTATATTCAAATCACTAGCAACAAGTCAGATGTCACACTTAAGTGCCCTTTTTCAGTTTCATTTTTAGGACAAAAACAAACATTCCAGGAAAATATGAGAATTTGATAACCATATCATTTAAGAGGACTGAATAGTTATTATTGCTTATATGAAACACCAGTAATCCTACTGCTTTTGTATTTGTTAGTTTAATTTCTGTTCATAAAGGGCATTCATGTTAAAGACATAACACCTGTATTTTGATTCCAGGTGAATGACAATATGAGCATGTCATTCCTCTTCTGTTAGAGGCATAATATATTCCAATAGCTCTTAACCGAGTTTGCATTATCCTTCAGTATTTTAATCATAAATTAGTAAAATGACAACTCTGATAAAATTTTCTTCCTTGGCTTTTGGAGTTTTCAGACAGATGAAAATTTGGAACCAAATTGTCCTGACCTCAAAACAAAAGAAGTGGAACTACTACCATATGTAAAGAACAATACAACTAGATTTACTATGTCACAAGATGTATATACCATAATATTTCCTATTTTTATTCTGGGTGCTAATGCAGAAATGTCCTGCAATTCAAGTTCCCATTTTCACTATGCAATTTTTACCTAAGCAACAACCAAAGCAGTCAAGCCTCAAGTTAAATGTAGCGTTTCCAATATTACAACTGAAGATAACGTCTATAGAGTTTTGAGTTTATCCTTCATTTACTGGTGAACTACAGCTGAAATGCCATAAAAAGATAGAAAAAGCATTTGATTATATTGCCTTGCTGATACTTGGTTAGTGACTCTTCTTTCCTGTCACTGGAATACTTTTGCATGAAAGTATTTACCCTCCTCCAAGGCATTTGAGTCACTGTTCTGTACATACATTTACCAAGTTCCAGTCAAGAGGCAGAAACAGTTTACTATTTCTTGCAATAGAACATGCATGTTACTAAATACTATCTCTTCCAATGTCCATTCTGTTTGCTTTACTTTGAAACCCAGAGAGAGGGAGAGGATAAGTAAGAAAATCTAAAAGATATTCTACAAACACCACCAGCAAACTTAGGCTGGAAATTCTCCAAATTTCGTCAAGCAAATCAGACTTCTCAGATATATAAATGAAATAAATAAATTAATATAATATTATATATTACCCCAGCAAATCCTGAGGTAATACATATTTGTGGCAACTCTACATGACCATGGTAAAATTATCATTTTTGTAATGTGTGTGTGTGTGTACTTCACCTGATTTTTAAAATAAAATGTTTACCTTGTAGCATGTGACTATGAAATGGCTTTAGGAATCCAGCCATTTTTAATGAAACCTTCGTTACACTGTTAGAGGATTTAAATCTATTTTCTGTATTACAGTGCCACCACTTCTATTGTAAGGAGGAAAACTCTATGTATAATGTACCATTAATTACTACTATTCTTGAACTTTGTCAACCATGAAAAAAGTGATATAAATGGTTAATAGTTTAAAGCAAAATAAATGTGCTAGACAGCTAAGGTCATATAGCACTATGAAAAAGTATAGTAAAGGATGGTGACGAGTGATAGTTGCTATGCGTCAACTACCTAGAGTAATATTAAAGAAGGGTAAAGGAGCTAATGAATGAATGGGTTAGGGTGGTTTAGGTAAGGGAATTAGATCAAGTGAAGGATATGTATGCGTCTGAGGAAGGAGAGCAGGTCAAAGCAGAAAGTAGATAAAGGATTGATTATAAGAAGAAAAGATATGGTGAAGGTCTGGTCTGTGAGAATGGAAACCGCAAATACTCCAATGTAGGAGAGCTATATCTTAGTTGATTTATAAGTGATAACGTATATAATGTGTCGGGGAATTTGAAGGGGAAGGAGCTAGGGCGTGAGATAAGGAATTAGAGGGGGGGGGTTGGTGTAGTATCAGGAGGGGTATCAGGTGGTGGTGGATCTGGGGAAGGGCATAGTTGTGACATAGGGATTCATGTGTGTATCCAGGAGGGAGTAGAACGGATAGAGGGGTAATGTAGGTGTTGGGAACAGGGGGATGGGTTGTGTTGGGAGGGAGTAGGAGAAAGTGGTGTAGGGGGAATATGAGTAGTAGGATGATGGATATTGGTAGTAGTTGGAATTGAGGGGGATGGGTTATGTTGGGAGAGAGTAGGAGGAAGGGGTGTAAGGGGAATATGAGTAGGAGGAGGATGGATATTAGCAGTATGTTAGAGTGTGGAGGGAGCATGAGTTGTGGAATTTTGTGTCAAGCATAAGTTTTGAATATCTTCCATAGTTTCTGCAGTGCAGTTGGTTGCAGTTTTGTGAGAGAAAGGTTTTCTTATGAGGAGAGGAAGAGGAGACTGGTGTCTGAGGAGTAAAGGCAAAGATAGGTGAGTGAGTGGTAGGAGAAGAAGGGGTGGAACGTTTAGACTGTCTGCTGTGTGTACTGCGGGAGGGGGAGGGGATGGTGTTGGGGCTGTAGTTGAGATTGGAGTGTCTGGATTTAGACTGGCAAAAGAATTTGACTGAGGAAGGTAAGAGGTAGAAGTGGAAGTGGGAAAGTAGGTAGGTATAGGAGAGGGTGTAGGAACATCTTGGGATGGAGCGGGAGGGCAGAGTTAGCAACATTACTAGAGTACGGAGTATGAGAGAAACCTTGTCGGTATGCTACCTGTCTGGCTTCATGTAGAGTGAGACCAAGTTTGGATCTGAGAGTTGCTACCTCAGACTCAAACTTGTAGGTGAGGCAGCCTCTATAAAATACATTATGGGAGTTGCCACAGTTAGCACATGTGAGTGTTTGAGCAGAGCAGTTTGATCGGTTATGACTGGGTTGGGCACATTGGGGGCATCGGGCTGTGGAATGGCAGTGTTTGGCAGGATGTCCAAAGTGCCAACAGTTTTGACATTGACGGGGAGGAGGTTGGTATGGTCGAACAAGGAAGTTGAAGATGGGTAAGGGGGTTGATGAGGGAAAGGGTTATGGTGGTTTAGGTAAGGGAATTAGATCAAGTGAAGGATATTTATGCATCTGATGAAGGAGAACATACGAAGCAAGGATATGACGTAGGTCTGATCTGTGAGAACGGAAACTGCGAATATTCCAATATAGGAGAGCTAGATGTTAGTTATTTTGAGTGAAAGCACCGGTCCATGTTGGAGAATCTGGGGGGGAAGGACTGTAGATATGAAAAGGAAGGTCATGTCTATGGAAAGTAATTTTAGCAGTGTTGGTGGGGTTCTTTCGATTTCTAGGAGGAATGGAGTAGCACTGTACTGATATTACATAATGATCTTTAAGGCAGCCAAGTAACTATTCTCCACAATCTGACCAGTCGACATCCATAGGGCAGCATGCTTGGAAGATAGAAACAGTTCCACTACAAGTATTAAGAGTTGGATGAGGTTCTGCAAGAATGGGGTCACCAGAGAGATCAGTTAGATTTGAGAAGGCTACAGCTTCAGTTTCAGATGTAACTGTAATGAGACAGGAACGATCAGGGGGGGGGGGGGGATCACAGAAAATTGGGCTAAATAAAGTATTAAAGATATTTGTAGAGTTAGGGGTGGTTGAAGGACAGGGACGTGTGGAAGAGGGAGTATTGTTGAGGGGGGTAGTATTACAGAAAGATGGAGAATAAGGCTGTAAGGTGAGGATGGGGTGATTGATGAAGAAGGTTGTGGGGGTAGGGGTGATGAAGTTGAGGAAGTTGGGAGAGTAGGAATGTCTTCTAGAGATTGAGTCTCGACTTGAGTAGATACTGTACTGGTAGGCATTGAGGAGTGGGTAGTAGTTGCAGTGTTCAGAGTCGTGGTCAAAGGAGAGCCTGGGGTTGAGGTGCTGGGAGTTTGAGTTGGTGGGCTATTTGAAGAAGGGGCAAGCCTCATTGCCCCTAAAAACAGAATTACATCTTCATTACTGGCTTTTGGAAGCTTTAACTATGTTGGGGAAATAAACAGTCCACCCTCAGGGTCCCCTTGAGGGGTAAGGGCCAGACAACTAAAACGGGGATACCATGCCATGATTCCCTCAGGCCATTCAGGACGGAAATGAAAGAGCAGGTGGGAGAAAAGACCATGCAAAGTTAGGCCTGAGGCCCAAGGTAGGGGAGATCTCTGCAATGGGTCTCAGTCCCCATCTCCTAAGCCCACCCACGACAACAACAGGCAAGGGATTGAGGGGGGGGGGGGGAGTGATATAAATACAAATTTCATCACTGAAAATCTCACCAGGTGAAGAGGGAAAAATAAAATTACAATTTTAAATTTTCAATCAAATCAGAGGTTTCTACATTCAGCATTTATTATTCAAAATAATAACAAGTGCATAAATGGCTACTGAACTGCAATATATTCATAACAAAATGTTTTCATTAAAGAAAACAGAATCCCAGCTGTAAACAAATAAACTGAAATCTATAATTTTAATGTAAAACATTTGCTTCCACATGATTATTTTCATGATCTTTAAGTAATGCATGAAATTTAATTGAATGCTATATTCTTTATGAAACCTATTTTTGTCCGGGAATGTCAGGCCACTGTAAATGATACAGTTTAAAAGAATCAAATATAAACAAAGCATACATAGAAAAACACAAACTGTAATCTGGACAACTGTTCAACTTGAACACAACATTGTGCTTTCTCTGTGATACATAAAAGCCGTGGAAATATAAAGCTATAAAATTTTACTAATGTGATGCATCATTACTGTTGCTTTTATTTTTTAACATGATCCTGTAACATAGTGAGGTACAATTTACATTGCAGGACCAAATGCTTAACTATGAACAATACAAAATCAAAGATTAATAAATTTCTTCCCATCCCTGGGTAATCGGTCCTTTAAAATTGCAAATCGAATGGTTTCCTTGGAAGTTTACATTCCATTTTATCTATATGGTATGGTAATTTGCACAGACAGCAATACCCATTCAAAACCTACAGCAACTATATAGCTGCAAAATCAGAATTTATCAATCCCTAAATTTATCTTTTGTATATTTATAAAGTCTTCTCATGTGGGTTGTGTAGCTCAGTTGGTATGAGCATGTGCAGTTACCTTCGTGCAAAGACCCAGGTTTGAATCCTAGTCGGAGAGGGCAAGTTATTTATTCAAAGCCTTCTCAGTTAACATATTGCTTGAAAGTATATAAATCTTTTATCAAATATTTATATGTAAATACAAAATCCGGAATTTTCATTCAGATATTCTCCTTTAACTTATATTCCTCATTTGTAATACCTTTATTTAAAGCACTGCATTTTGAGGCATTTGTCAATAAACACTCATACAACATGTACAGTGGACAAAGGTACTTCCAATAAAAAATATATAAATGCCGAGAAACAAGATATACAAAAATACCGATTCTTAAGACTGCTTTCCTCAACACAATATTTATCTCTACTAATACACCTTAACTAGAAGTGTGATGGCACTTGGCCATATCACCCTTATTCTCCAAGCTCCTAGTGTGTAACGGAGCCAAATGATGACCAGATCTAGTCCCATCTCGATCCAACTAAGCACTGGGGTCATCTTAGTGCCTGAAAAAAACAAAAACATTGAGAGTAATTTTTTAAGTTCCTGATTTATTTAATATTTCTTCAAACAACAAACAAACAAACAAAAAAATATCCACTTTAAACAAAATGTCAGTGTTGGAAAGACTCGTGTTCACATTTAGAGACACACCTTCGATTTCCTGCCATTCTACAGCAACTTCCGCTATGGGAATCCCTAAAACTTGTGCCAAGTACAGCATCTCAACATCAAATGCCCTGTAACAAGATCATTATAAAGTCATGATACATATTTGAAACTTGTAAACGAAAAAATCAATTACTTCAAATTAGCCACCTGATAACAAACCTGCCTTGTTTCATGGAAAAAGTAGCTTTTATTTGCAAGATATTTCTAAAGGCAACTTTGTTGGTCATTTTAAAATACTGATTCTTGCCTTGATAGTTTTCCCCTCTTTAATGGTGTTAATAAAAAAGCTTAATAGACAATTGACCATCCAGTGAAATTATCAATCATGTAAAAATACACTGGTCACCATTTGTAAGTCATAAAGTAAATTCACCTACCATCTCTCAACATGTAAACTGTTGAATAAAATACGGGCAGATCGGCGTGTCAAAAGTTTAAAGCCACATTGTGTGTCTCGAACTCCACGCACTGCAAACAGCCACACCAAGAAGTGGAAACCGTACATCAAAAGCGTTCTGAAGAATGTCTCGTAGCAACAGACTCCTCTTCTAAATGAGCTCTTGATCCACATGATACAGCAATAGCCTCACTTAGTGTCTTCTCATCTGGTAATCAAAAATCTTACTTCAGCAAAATAGGAATGAGAATATAAGCCACGCAATTAATGCAACAATTACTACATGTACTCTTACATAAAGAAAAGTTCATAGAAACCTTAGGTTGTGCCAGCCAACAGAACTATTGGCTATACAAAAGTGCTGGACTGTTAAACACTGCCTCCCTCCCACTTAAATCTAAGGGAAATGCTAAATAACTAAGCAAACGCAGAGCATAATAAAATTTGAACCTGTATATTAATGTGACAGTAAAGTACTGATCAAAAAAATCTTTTGCTTACCGGCACAAATATTCTTCAGACTAGCTTCCACTTTATCCAAGTCGGAGAATGTGGTTGCGCCATCAGCATCAGCAAAAAGAAGCATTTCTCCCCGAGATCTAAACACACCCTGGGATGAAATATTTATTCACTGGATTATTATCAAACATGCTAAGATTTTTTTTTTTTTCTTTTTTTTTTCTTAACAGGTTTACTATACATTCTATGATAATTCCATCTTGATATGACATGCTGTGTAAAAAAGAATATCTCACCATCCTCACAGCTCCACCCTTGCCTCTGTTCTTGGCCAAGGTCAATACCCTTACTTTGTCTGTGCCATACTTCTTCCCATACCCCAACCCAACCTGTGAGGTCTTATCTTTACTTCCATCGTCTACAATGATCACTTCATAGGTAAAACTGCTGTCAGTCTTTGCTCTTTTTTCTAGTACTCCATACATTCATCCATCATAACTGGTACTGTAAGCAGGTAAAAAAAGATTCAATAATGACAAATGTTTAGTACTTTTCAAAATCAGTTCAACAACACAAAAAATATTTCTTTTCAGCAGATCCAACTTGTACCAGCCAAATTTTATGCAAATATATAGCAGTCTACATATACTTACATCTAGCTTCCTCATTGTATGCTGGCACAACTACAGATAAGGACCTAGTTGGTGGATCTTTTATTGATGGGAAATCAAATTTCTCTCCAATTCCTGGATCTTCATACTGTTTTTCACTCTCATAGACTTTTATGGTAGGATACATTTCACTGTTGATATAGACTATAACACAGACCTGAAAGTTAAATGCATTAGGGAGATTTCTATGGAAAATACTGGCGTATATCCACAACATGTACACAATATTTCATCAAATGAGCCTTGTATCAAAACAATATATACATGTAAAATTAATAGTTTGTCATGATTTTGTACTTACAGCAATAAATGCAGCCATTAAAAGTGCCACCAGGTACACAAGAAGAATTAGGACGTCCATTTTTCTCTAGCTGTCTTTTTCCTGAAATAAATATATTATTAACAAATACTTTTCTAAAGGCTTCATCTTTCAAGTTACATACATGTTTATAAGATTTATTCAATAAATTCTTGCAAACATATTTTGTAATCTAAATTAAGTTGACTCATTCTCGATGGTCTGGGAATATCTTTTTAATTTCTAAACCGTAACAAATAAAGATCTAACAAATAATACTAAATCAGTTAGCTTTCATCATCTGAGGTATTCTTTTAATTCAGTGAAGATGGATGCCACCTTTTCATAAATGGGTGCAGGATGGCACCTATATGTGCAACAAACAAAATCTATCTAAATCTTATCTTTCTATACTTTTGCTGAAAGACAAAAAATTGGCATGTCCATAATCAATGCCAAAACACTGTTCCTGAAATTCAGATTATCTACTTGTGCAAGTGAGCCTGAAATTAACCCCAGGAGCAGCCAGTGTGCTCCAACTCTTTCCCAGCACCACTGGGTCAATATCATCTGGTTGCAACTGCTTTTTCATGGTTATGCCTCTCGATTTTACTTATTCAATCATTTATTCATTCTCTCTCTCCCTCTTTCTTTCCCTCTCCCTCTCCCTCTCTCTTTTTAATATTTTCTCTCATTCATATCTATTGTATATCCATTTTTTGATCATCTGAATTTTCTGGTTCAAACTGAAATTTTCCACAGTACTCTTGCTCTGCTTTATCTCAGCCCTATCTTCTACATTTGTAGTCAACCTTACAGTACTTTTTTTAAATAAAACATCATGCAGTTTTGAAAACATGTAGTCAATTGTAAACCTCCTTGGCAATTAATGTCAAATAAGGTACCAATCCAAATATATATCTTGCCAGAATATACATATTGGAGGTTTACTGACGTCTGTGAGAGCACAGAGCAGAGGCTTGGAAGTATAGTTTTAGTGTCTGACAACAGGACTTTCACAATGGACAGTATATGGAATTAATAAATCATTGAAATCTAAGAAAATTATCATATTTGACATTTCATGCACAAATTTAAAAAAAAGTCCTTTGAAATACAAATTTACTCAACGACGAGGAATACCATGGCTCCGCCAGGACGTTCATGACTCGCACAAAGTCAGTCTTTCATTCTTTCAACATTGCTCTCACATCATAGGAAGTGGATAGTAGAAGGGGCAGGAGACAAGAAAAAAACAGAAAGGGAGGGGAGGGGAGACGGCTCTGTAAAATTAGCCGAGTCAAGGATTGAGGCGATTCCCAGCATTGTGTCCCAATCTCCAACTCCTACGTCCCCCCACAGCAACAATGGGCATGGGATGGAGGGGGGGGGGGTTAATAATAAGAAAGTTGTGGAACACTCAATACTTTGATATACATTTACATATTGATTGCACTAAAATAAGGAAAATCTAATAACACTGATAAATAAAGTAATCTGGGCAAAGAATACGATCAGAAATTAAGAAAAAAGATAGAAACAGATGCTGGACTGAGTGTGTACACAGTCACTGGGTGTGGATGAAGGGGTACAGCCCCTGACAGGGATATACAGAAATTAGGTGGTGGTCTGATGACGAAACCCCAGGGTTTGGAAGGCTTTAGGTTCATATGGATTCCCAAGAGAATCTGGAATAATAGGGACTTCTCGTCTTGCTCGTCCAGACAAGTTGGACAAGAGGTTTCAAACGTTCAAACCTCAACCTCTAATTTCTCGGCATAAAAATGTTGTCCATCTTGTCCATCTCCCCCTCCTTCTCAGCTGGGCAAGCAGGACAAGATGATGTCACAATAATATCTGTAAGAAACTGATAAGTAATTTTATTGTTCTTTATTAATGTTATCAAAGGACATTTTCATGTTTGTCAGTTGCAGGTTAATAATGCATCAAAGGAGCTACAAATCTAAGCATCTTGTGAAAAAAGACAGCAGTATGATAAAATAGTGAATGAACTGTTTCATGTTGACTGATATGGAAAGGTATGAATGAGAACGAATATCTTCACAATACAAGAGATGTATTTTTCCCGTTTCGATTATATCTTCATCAGAAATACATATTTCTGACGAAGATATAATCGAAACTCGTAAAATACATCTCTTGAATTGTGAAGATATTCGTTCTCATTCATACCATTCCACATCTGATAAAATAGTGAATGTTTACGTTCAATCTGTTGCATTCTGGGCTGCAAAGGCCTTGGAGGTTCTGGACAAGCAAGACGAGGAGTTCCGACCACAGCATTAGTCTCAGAGGGGTGAGGTCACTTGTAATCAATTACGAATACTTTCACTTACATCCTCTATGATGGTAAACAATAGATCACACTTGCTGCAGTGTAACTAATTGAAACAAGAAATTATGATTGCAAGGTTGAATGGTTGTGTGAAGCTAAAAATCACTTTCTTTATTATTTTAAATGCGATTCTTGGTTCGGGCTTTTAATTTTTACACTTCATTATTTTAAATGCGATTCTTGGCTTGTGTGTTTTTCATTTTTGCACTTTCTCTTACTTTCAAGATAACCGTGAAATATCCCCAAAAAGGTATATTTTTGTGGGAAATTTTGGCTCATCTTTGCGATAAATGGGTTTTCTTTACAGTTTTACAATCAAAGCTTGCGTGGGAGACCTATGTATGGTCCACCGCCCTAAAACCCCCGATTCCCCACGCGTCCCCCAAGATCGTAGGAGATAGGGAAAAACAGGAAAAGCGAACATTCCACCTCTAGAATTACCATAAAGTTTCCCATTTTCATTTCTGAAGCATTGCTAAACTGATGCTAAAAAACACATTTTTCTTTTGCCCATATGTGCATTATTTCTCCTCCAATGCTTAAACCAAAGTTATACTAAATGTTTAAACTCCCTAGCACCTTCCTTTAGCCTTCCCCCTAAAAAACATGTCATATCCTTAAAACATAAACACTTAAACCCAAAAAACACAAATTTTCCAAACCAGTCTCTCACTCACAGACGAAACACAATTCCAACGATAATATTACCTCAAAAACCTCTCAAGTTCTCTCCTCTCTTCACCTCTCATCTCCGGCTCGAGGCGACGTAATTCACGCACAAACCGGTTTCCTTTTCCTCTCGTGAGGTGAGAGTTGGGCGGTTTTCTGGGTTTCTCTTCCTCTCTCTCTCTCTCTCTCTTTCGCTCAGCTGTTTGACACATTGCCTTCCGGCTGAT